TTTTTTATATTCCTCATTCTTCCATTATCATTTTCCGATCTTTGAGCCGGCAGTTGATGAATTCGGTTTTGGACTATTCGGAGAATGTGATGATTTGCATGAACTGAAACTGGCGTTGCGTTGGTATTAAATGTTAGAGGCTAAAGACATAGTTTCGACGATACAGAGAGTGTAAGGATTTGCAATAAATTAAAACTGGCGGATTATTGGTATTAAACGCTATATCAAGAGGATTAATTGATGGATAAAATGGTGTTGCCCGTGATACTGTTTGTTGGCCTAAAATATGCTCAATTTTCGTTTTTAAACTAATCTCTGAAATTGAATAATGAAATGTATTAACAGTCTTATTAATAATAATAGTCTTATGATAAATGTAATCATTATGTAATGATTTTTCTTCACTTTCATCAATGAAAATTGATTAAAGAATTACATGAAATTAATCTATCTAACTGTTTACCATTGTAAGTAATAAGACGAACTTAGCAAATTTGTTGTCGGGAACGCGGTAAATGGCAAGGTGAATCGGTATTTTTCTTTCGTTTTTGTTACACTTTTCGGTTTTCGTCGTGGTCGATACTTATAATCCGGATGTTCTTTCATATGTAATGCTCGTAAACGTTTTGCTTCATCTATAAACGGCCTTTTTTCCGCATCACAAAGTTGCTTCCATTCTGCACCTGAAATTTAAGAGAAGACAACTTCGAGTAAATGTTATGCTAAAAGTCATTTGATTTCATAATAAATTGCAGAAAACAAATCAAAGCGTGCAAATGAACTGATTCCGAGATATCGTAAATCAGCAATGAGTCCTTTAAAAAACTATCAATTTCATACAGTCTTTTGAAAATATTAAATTATAAAATTCTAACCCAAACGTTTGCTAATTTCGCTATTATGCATTTTTGGATTATCTTGCGCCATTTTTCGTCGTTGTCCCCGAGACCAAACCATAAAAGCATTCATTGGTCGTTTCACATGCGATTCCATTGACATTTTACCAGAACCAAGACCAACTGCATGACCTGGAAAGGAAATAAATCCGTTCATTTTGCACCAGCGAAAACCAAAGCATAGCGGTTACTATCATCCACAGTAGTTAAAACTGTAGGTTAATGATAATTATCGATGCAGGAACTAGAGTTACTCTATTAAAATAATAACGAAACTATTAAACATTACCTCAAAAAAAAATTTTAAACGAAAATTTGTGAAGTAATTAAATAAAAAAGTGAAAATAAATGAAAAATCATGCCTATTAATGAGCTTTAATTAACTGCTTATTCATTCAGTGATAACGGATACCATATAAATTGAAAATACTTACTAGTAGCTGAAGAACGACCACCATCTGAAGATACAGATCCAAGATCATCATCATCATAATTCAATAATTCATCATCACGTTGATGATGACTGTGTAATTTGTGAGCTGTAGCAATTCCTGTCGCTGATATATTAACCGGTATGGTTGATGCTGATGGTGTCGTTACGATCGATGGATAAAGCATAGTTAATTCGGTCATCAGGACTAATGATAATGATAATTTCGATGATAGTATCGAATCAAATTACTCAAACTAATCCAAGTTCACTGTTTCGTTCCCTTTTTTCTCCTGAAGAGTCTTTTTTCTCGTTTAAAATAATAACGAAACGAAATTTTGTTTTCGCAAACAATACTTTCGAAAGTAAAATTACGTGATAATTTGTGACAATTATCTAGTCAACAAGTTTTTTTCCTCTTCCATCCTCCTTTTTTTTCCCTCAGTAACAGAAACCAAATATTCAGTAACACCCTCAAGGTCATAGGTTATGCATGCTCAATCAAATTATGAATAAAAAGTAGAAAAGCAAAAGAAGGGAAGAAAAAAAAAAGACATTTCTAATATCAAGAAATCATCACGATGACACTTAAAAAAAGGAATGGGTGACGTCCAAAAAATGATGAAAGGACAATAAAATTCTAAACTTTGTACTTAACAGCACTGATGATGGTGACAAACATATAAACATATGCATAGAAACAAAGTAAAAATATTGTGACAAAAAGGGCACCACGATCTATATAGTTCAATGGATTCGATTGGTTAATGGTTAGTGATGATGTGACAATGATGATGACGATAATGGCGACAACAATGATGACAGTGATGATGACAATAATGATGGTAAGGCCACAATATACAGTGGCCACAATGACAATGACAATGACAATGAAGGAAATTCACGGAATATAATGGAACACTTATAGCAACTTGCATCAGCCATTATATGTGGGAAAAACTATAAGACCAAACGATAACTGTCATAATAACCCAAAGATGACCAGGTCTCCATGTCAATGTGCAGTGTCTTTGTGATAGAAGGATAAGATGAATAAATTATCAAAGATTGTTTCTATATATCAACTAATTAATTGATTTACAAAATACTGTAAGAGTTGTAAATGTAAAAAGTGAAGTAAATGATTTGCTAATTCATCATAAATCTGTCACCAACATATTTAGCAAAATTTCGAACATTTACCGCCTAAATATATTTTTACTTATATATATATATATATATATAATAGAAGAACAAAACGAGGGAATTATCGAATGATAATTAAATCAATTCACAAAGTATTGAAATTTACAAAAGAAGACGTAAAATAAAATTTGTGAAATAAATAATTTAATATGAAAATTCAAAACGGTAAGAAGAAATATAATTTTGAACGAAAAATTTTTTTCTAACAAAATGAAATCTTAAGAAAAGTAAATACAAAAGGATGAAATCACAATCGGTTAGCAATCTTAGCAGTAATCAGAGGAACTGAATAGAAGAAGAAAAAAGGGATGGAAAAACATTTACAGAAAGGAAGAAGGAAGGTAATTAAAATGTTATCTCATCATATTGAAAACTTTCCCGAATTAGTCCTGTAATAATTTCCAAAAATTTTATTTATGACAATAAGACGACAAACAGAATTGGTGTCCTTTTTAACCGATTCATCACCGTCACCAACTATTCAAAGTGAGGAAAAATGATGACTGTTTTATTTATTTGAGAAACGAATTGTATGTTATTGGTATGTATGTGTGTATGTGTGTGTGTGTATGTGTGTCATAAGTTTGAATGAATTAAAATTGGGGATGTGCAATGAAGCGCAGCATCCCTATCTACTTGTCTAATACCCATCTATCTATCTACCTACCTATCCTATTTACCTATCTACCTTAACTATTTATCCATTCTTCCTCAGCTCTGCTACTAATCAACCTTCCCCCTCCTCTTTCTATTCTTTCTTTTGAAACCTTTCCTTCTTTCATTTATGGTTTGCAAAAGCAGAAAAAGGAAGAAATGTTAACTATTTCCTCCATTCATCATCAAGTGATTTTCCTATTGTTCACCACAAGAAACATCCTTTTTTCTTGTATTTCCTCTCTCCTTTTTTTCTTACTTTCTCTCTCTCTCCCTCTCCCTCTCTCTTCCTCGCATCTTTTCATCACTTCACAATCTTAGAAAATTAATAATAAATTTTGAAATAAGATGGAAATTGAGGAAGTGAATAGAAGAGGTGAAATAATAAGAGAGAAAAAGAAATGAATAGAAATTAAACGTTAATATGAAGTGGGAAAACGACAAAAGAAAAGAAAACTCTGATTTGATAGCATGATTAGTAGATGATAAGAACTGATATATTACAGATATAACATTCAACATTCCTTTATAATTTCATTCCATCATCATGTTCACTTTTATATTAAACCAATAGTGATGATAACGATGACAGGAAGAATAGCAATATAAAAGAAGATCGTTATTAAGGAAGTATTTCCTCCTTCTAATCAGTTCATTCATTCAATTGGAATTAGAATGTTTTCGGATTTTCAAACGTGATAAATATGCAATATCTACTCTTTATAAAAAAAGTTAGGGAAAAAAAGCACACAAACATTAACACAGAGGGACAGACACATTTATACGTGTGTGTGTGTGTGTGTGTGTGTGTGTGTGTGTGTGTGTGTGTGTGTGTGTGTGTGTTGTGTAT